GGTGTACCTAATAAAGTGGCCGGTGAGTGTAATTACTCCACTAAAGTATAACAAAAATTTCTATTTAAGTAAAGTAACAAAGTATTTGTACTTAGTTACTTGACACCTCTGCGTATTAATCATATTGATGAATCTATGTTTAACACCTGCAGTAACACTTCAGTCAGCTACATCCAAGCTTCAGAACATGAGGAGCATCATGTGTTCAGGTCTGATTGAGTTAAACTAGAAGATTCCACAAAACTGAGGTTCTTCTGCCTCTTATTGAAAGTTCTGCAGCATCTGCAGTCAGTTTTACTTCAACATGATCACTGTGAGCTGCTGCACAGCTCTGCTGCTGCTGATTCCTAAATGTTACTGTAAATTACTGACACCTACTGGTGAGAGAAATAATACAAACTGGAACTGGGAGGTAAACATGACTGCAGTACAGTGGTATCAGTACTGTGGTACTGAAACACAGGTACATGGTACCTTAGCATTGAGCTCATCCACTATGAAGTGACACAAGGAAGCTTTGAAGAAATATTCTTTAGCGTTGTACTTCAGCAGAGGGTTGTCCATGGTACTCATAGCCACCTGAAACACAGAAAACACACAAACTGACCACATTTCTGTTGAAACAGTACAACTCTTTAACCACGGATCAGATGAGTCCACAAAGAGATGGACTCACCTGTTCGTAGATCTCGATGGCTTTCTGGTACTGCTCCAGCTGAGCGCTGTAGTGTCCCACCTTCAGCAGACTCTTGTTGGCCGAGCTGAGACACAAAACAACATTAGCTTCTATAATTAACCCTGATGTTTGCCCATCGTCAGAGAGTAACAAAGATTTAATCACTGCTGTCGAAATATGTAAGCATTAGTCAGCATTATTTGTTTAAAACACACTCAGCTCACAAGAAGGAGGCAAAATTTAACAAGTTTAAGCTGAAAGTTTAGGAAGATATTAAGAAAAAAACATGGATTCCCTCAGCAAAAGGTAGTACACTTCAAGTTCATTTTAATAAGTGTACTTGAGTTTAAGTTTAAGTATATCAAGTATACTAGGCACCATGTACTTATAGTGTACTAGAAAGTATACAGATTTAATACTCATTCATACATTGGGACTTTTATTTAGTTTATAAAAAGTATACTTTAAGTATACTGTCTTTTTAAGTTTATGAACTTACCAAAAAGAAGTATACTTTAAGTTCATGTCATTAAGTATACTAAAGTATATAAAAGTGTATTTCCATAAGTGTTCTTTTATTTACCATGTACACTGATATAAGTATACTAGCAGTTCACTGACAAGTATACTTCTAGGACTAAATTGGCCCACATTAAGTTTGTGAAAGTATACTCAAAAGTACACTGAATGTAATCTTCTATGTATACTTTTAGTTTAATCTTGAAATATACTACAAATAAACCAGTCTATGTGAAAATGTACTTTCAGTGTACTACTGCCAAAGGTTTAAACATTTGTATAGACTAAGTATACTTAAACTTTTAGTATACTTTTAGTAAAATCCAAGTATAGTGTAAGATAAACTTGGTTAAGTATATTTCAGATAGATACATAAAAAGTAAACTGGAAGTATACTCTTTTTTTAGTTTAAAACTAGTAAAGGATACTTGCATATACTACGTTTGGTAAGGGTTTGTGACATTTTATTATTTTTCAAGAGCAAAAGGGAAATTGTTTTCAAATTCAATGAAGAACTGTTTCCAATAATGCAGATTACAGCGGGTAAAATAAGTATTGAACACGTCACCATTTTTCTCAGTAAATATATTACTAGAGGTGCTAATGACATGAAATTTTCACCAGATG